TACATTAGCATAGTATATACATACAGAGGAGTCGGAGTCGGGGAGTCGGAGTCGGAAGATTCAGAAACTGAGGAGTCGGAGTCAGAGCATTTATCTACCGACTCCACAGCCCTGCTTTTAGTGACCAGTTATCATTTGCTTTTCTCCTCATACCTTTTTGTTCAATATCTCACAACCACACCACACAACCTAGGAGTGAGTCCAACAGCAAGAATGAAAATGTTTATGACTGACGACTCGGAGAGCAGAGTTCACACAAAAACACCGGACATTTTTTTAAACATATACTAGATAATTTTGGAAATGAACAATTATTAAAATTGCAAAGCCAGCTACATCTTGTTTCCTATGAAAATGTTTTAGCGGAGCTTATTGACTGAGAAAAGCTGACCGTCACAGTGCTTGCAATATGACAATCAGATGTGCTTAACACACAATGCCAATAGCATCATACAGCATGCAAGCCCAGCTACAGGAGAAGAAGCTCAGATGTTTCCCTTGGTCATATTCACCATTCCACAGCTCAGCCTACAAGCGTTTAAGGTTTATACCTCATCAGGAAATAAGCCAAGTCATTCAAACACGGCTTCATACGACTGGACCGCTTTAAAAGAAACTCACGTTTCTACCTAGCTGTTTGTGCATTACTAAATTTCATATAAGTGCTTTACATTGCGACACCATCTTCAGAACCATTCCATCAAAAACTGTTCCAGACAAAAACTAAAGTTAGACTCAAGCAGACAATAAACAGACAAATCATACGCAGAATCTGGCAGAGGAAAGAAATCACAACAAAATCATGACAGAGGTCTACCTGAATCGCAAAAAGATCTAATATGCATTTCATAATTCATCAACACCTGGTGTTGTAACATCACTCTCTCAGTAGTTTCCACGCACAGCCATAAGCCAGCAGTCAAACACTGTTGTTCTGAGCAGATCTTTGCACAGCGGCAGAGTGGCGTCAAACCCAGCCTGTGCTGTGCCGGCAGCCATATGCTTTTATCAGATTGACGCCTTGGCCGACGTTCAAGAGCAACACACACATTATGATGTTCCAAGGGAACATAAGTCATTTAAAGACACATCTGTTACAGTTTCCATAGGTAGCTAATCTGCTCAGCACCTGCGACGTTCTCAAACAGCCTGATTTATGGATATGCTGCATAAGTGTTTGCTGCAGGACAAAGGTGCACATACTTTGATACATTATATATGATAAGGACCTGGGGGGGAGTGTTTTCAGTTTTAGTTTGCAAAATCAAATACGGCGAGGACACAAACCTGAACCACAAATCTGTCTTTCCTCCATGTGGTCTTGGTTTGGACAGCACTGCCATTGCAGAGTCCAGGTTCGGCTCATTGGACCCCACTTTAATTAGCAATTCAGACCCTCCAACAAAAAATGCACCCAACCCCTCAAAAACGTAACAGATGCAGGGAGAATGAATGTTGTCCTACAGGAAAAAATGTAAAACTTCATGGAGCATTTAAACTCTATTAAATAACACCTGATTTTGGACGTCAAACTATACAGCATTTCAACTGAGGGGGGAGAGCCTTCATCCTTAGCAGTTTATTTTAAAACCAACCCGATCTTAATTCCCAAAGATTCAAACAGCAGCAATGACAGACTTCACACACGCTTACCATGAACAACAGAGGCACAAGACATTGATGAACAGTCAGAATAAAAGACCTTTCTGTAAGGGGACAAAAAAAAAGAGTTACAAATGTAACTAAATGAGGCTTCCCCATTTGCCCATAATGCAATGCTCCAAAGCCACACACTTGTGTTTTAACGGCACAAAGGCGCTCCTGAAATAAAAACCATCCATGCTTCAAGGTCACCTATAAAAGGCACTGTGAGATCCATGCAGAACTTAGAAAGAAAATGAGAAGGGCAAAAAAAAATAAACAAAAAAAAAACAGGATCTTATATTTTCATAAACATTTGTGAGGAGAGCATTGTGCAGCAAAGGCTGCCGGCTTTAGGTAACTTTTCTGTAATTTTCCCGTTAACATCCGATGTGTCGCTGACATTCAGCCACAGACAAAGGTCGTGCATGCATTGTGAATCATCCCTCTGATAGTTCTTTGAACGTTATGCCACGGTCAATTTTTAAAACACTCAAGCACCAACGATCAGGCGCAGGAACCCAGGAATATAGCATGCAGGCCTGCATCCCCGGAAATATGCATCTATAGTATGCAGGCCTGCATCCCCATTAATATGCATCTATAGCATGCAGGCCTGCATCCCCGGAAATATGCATCTATAGTATGCAGGCCTGCATCCCCATTAATATGCATCTATAGCATGCAGGCCTGCATCCCCGGAAATATGCATCTATAGCATGCAGGCCCGCATCCCCGGAAATATGCATCTATAGTATGCAGGCCCGCATCCCCGGAAATATGCATCTATAGTATGCAGGCCTGCATCCCCGTGCAGAGAGACTGAAATGCTGCATCAGCAGCAGGTGACTATAGAAGGGAAGAAGCGCGACTGCAGTACTTTAATGAGCTGCTACATATTCTACTCATTATAAAAGAATAAGAGTTCATAAAAATATTTTCTTTTAATAATACACACTTAAAATACTGGGTGCAGGTAGTACTTGGCAGTTGCAATCACTAATAAACCATTTTCACTACCGCCCCAACCCACACCCCACCACAACCAAACATTTAGCGCACAAAACGTGAAACGGTGTTTTGAGGCGTAACAGCTTTAAAAAAAAAAAAACAAAGGGAAAAGATACATATCAGATGATGTGAAAAGTTGGCAAGAGTGTACTTGTGTTTGCGTGACTGCCCTGCCGCGTGCCACCTGTGCAGACTGACTCGATGTCATGCGGGGCAGCAAAACAAAACCAGTTTCCACAAAAAAACCAAAATAACAAAACAAGAAATGATACCAGATAGCAGTTGTGGCACATTTCTAATTTATAAATTACTAGTAAGTCATTACTGTGTTTGTCCTTCTTCCGTTCTTCATCCTCCAGTCTATAAACTGGGCTTGAAAGCCTTCTGGTGGATCAGAAGGCGGACTTAGAAAAAGGCCTCTTTCCACCAAAGGGGCGAGACGCCAGGAGACGAGCACTAGGGTCACGCAGTGGGGGGGGGCGTGGCATCACGGTGAAGAGCGGGCGGCTGGGCGCCGTCCGTCGCGGCCCTGGACCGTGTTAGGAGGAGGTATGAGGAGGTGCAGCGCTGCAGGCGTAGGGGGGAAGGAGCAGGGGTATCCCCACCCCCCCGTGCCCAGCGAGGGAGACCCTCAGAGGTATTGCTGGAGAAAGTACAGCAGCATAATCTCATAATGCTCTCCTGACTCTGGGCACCGGATGCTGTGCCGCTCGTTGGGGTAGATCTGCAAAACAAAATCGGGGGAATAAAACAGCCTCAATGGGTTGAAAATACCAGTACAAATAATACGTCTTACTGCTTACACATGTGACAGTCCATCACTGCCATTTCTCAAAAAAAAAAACTATCTTTCATATTTAATGGGTTGGTTACATGCCTGGCTTTGAAGGTACAAAAAGCCCATACTGTGTGTTCTAAAACGTCACCCAGACCGACAAGCGGAGCAGTGTTCTGGAGCCAAGACAGCACACCCCCGCAGCACAAGCACACACATTCCTTTCCAGTCGCGTTACCTGATCTGACCCTGAATTCCAGCATCACGCCAGTGCAGAGCAGATAAACACCTGCACTACAGGCAGCAACCATGAGCAGACTGTAGCATAAACCCTCAGTATGGAACTACACAAATATGTTAATTTCAAATCTATTGATCTTAAAAAATGCGACCTGTCTGTTTAAAGTCATTAAATTCATGTTTGAACTAGCATGTAAGTTACACTGCAGCACAGTAAGGAAAAGACAGTCACACATTTTCCTTTTATTTTGAAAAAGCAGTGAAACCAGATTACCAGATCCCAAGATTACCAGAATGACTTTTTTATACTATGAAAAAGGAGAGAGATGCCCTACTGGCCAGGCCTAATAGTGGAGTATAACAAGGATTTGGGGGCTGGTGCTTTTAGACTGTGGTGAATAATAATAATAATAATAATAATAATTGATACTTTATTGATCCCCGTGGGGAAATTGTTTTTACGCCTCCCTCAACTTGCTCTTTGTAGAGCAAGCTGTCCGCGAAGGGCAGCCACCCGTAGCAGCGCCCAGGGAGCTGGGGATTGAGGGTCTTGCTCAAGGACCTGCAGAGGTGCTGAGGCTGGGCTTGAACCGGCGACCTTGTGATTACAGGCACACGGCTTAGCCCACTGAGCCACACGCTGCCCCTGAATGAATGAATGAGCCACCTGAAACCCTCGTGCACCCCCCCCCACCCCCCAGAAAACAGTTGATCGTCCAAAGGAATAATCACCGTTATTTCAGTGACACCTCTAGTGCTGCTAACTTTGCTGTCCGATATTTAAACTTCATCAGTGTTCAATTTCAGCATTTTCACTGATACATCGTGCATCTGTACATAACCATTTCAAGACAATATGTAATTCAAAATAAGAAAGAAATACAGTGCTTGAGAATTGTGAGAGAAAATTGCGAACTCGGTTATGAGTATTAAAAACAAAAAATCGTGATTGACATTTTACTCAGGATCGAGCGGCTCTATGATCAGTGGGCTGCATACATTTTTTTTTAATTGGGTGAGTAACAATGGTCATGCAGAATGTATCAGAGTAAAAACTCGTTATTTGGCTTAAAATTGTAGCAAAATGAGTGTAAAAGCTGCAACAACTTAATATATTCAAGTACAAATTCAGAAAAAAATTACTGCAGTACAGTAACAAAGTATTTGTCCTTTGCTACTGTACACAGCACATACTGTTAGGGGTTTTAGGGCCATAATAGGAGGACAGAAAAGAGCACAAATGCTTACCTGGAGCTGGTAAGGCTTCCCAGCACGGATTAGTTGTGAAATCAGGAAATTGGTGTGGAAAAAGTGCACATTTTCATCAAGAAATCCATGTAAAATTAGTAAACGATTGGGTCTAAAAAGAAAGGAAAATATTTTCTCTAAATTATGTCATAATGTACCAGAACACATCCATGCAAAGCACCTTGAGGCGACTCTGTTGTGAAAGGCGCTATATAAAAATTGAATTGACAGTAATAAAAAGTGCTACTTAATGAGAAAATGACAGAGGACTGACTCTCATTTCCGATTAGACTCCGGAGTGCAAAAAAACAGGGAATCTAAGCATGATTTGCACATACAGGCATCGTAAGGCTCTCACTTTAGGACTAAATACATTTTCAAATGCAGCTGTGAATCCCACCTTAATAAGCGATTTAAAGAACACCGGACACTTGCCGGGTCGACAAGGCAGAGAGAACCTTAAAATCGGCCTGCTGCAGGCAGCGACGCTGAAGACTCACTCGTTAGGGAGCTTGTCCACGTGCAGGGCCACAGATCCCGCCTCGTAGCCTTGCTGATTGTTCTGCGGTTCGTCCATGTAGCGTTCAGTGTAGCCAGTGTCATACGCCATCCAGACGGTCACGGGGGCACCTGCGACGGCCACCTGACCCAGGACAGACGTGGTGAGTCGCGCGAGCACAGTCCGACCAGGGCAGCCCCAATGCCGCGCACTCTCGTAAAGGCTTAAGTTGGGCTCAGCGACGCAGCTGTCGCCTTAAGCAACAGCGACCCCTTGTGTCTATGCTGAATTATAGCTACAACAACCACCTTAGACCATAATACAGCCTTATCTGTCAGCATGTACTGAAATGATTACACTGAATCATAAACACACCCTTGTCTTACCCACACAAAACCGTAACCAACCCACATGTCCCTCTAACTGCAAATAAAACCACAGAGAACAATAACTAAGCTAGA